TTATTATGACTTTAAGACCAACATCTGTGTCTAATTCGATACAAAATAAACTGGTAGTTACGGTAAACACTTGGCCTTTGCAATTAGGAAAATGGAGAATTCAACAAGTACTGTTTTTAGATCGTAATTCTTAAAATTAGAACATTATCATTTAGAAGTAGCAAAAATGAAATAAAATTTGATGATTCCAAAATTATGTATCTAAGAGACTGATAGTTTATAGTTTCCCCATTGAAAAGAACAAGTCGTAAGCGTAAAACAATTGAACGGAAAACCTCCCTGTTTTATAACAGTGTAAGTACCTGTTTCACACAAATAGCAATTAAGTGATGTTAAACGGGAGCTCCCTTTGAGTTGGTAGATCTTGGTATTTCGTCTTTTCTTATATAAGTAAAAACAAGACGTCCACTAAAAATAATACTAGGCCCCTACATGTAGTATGGACACAGATATAAACTGCCTATCTTGGTTTTCTTCATCCTACATGTGACTATAAAAATGGCCCAAGTGCCGAGCTATTGAATGCCCATCGTTATAGTAATGTTAAAGCAATAATAACTCTTCCTTTGAAATTCAAAATTCCGCAAGAAATACATTCTAAACAACGCATGGAAATATATTACATGTATATTTCATTTCACCACTAAAACGGCTGTTATTGTAGTAAAACTAAAAACTGTGCTTGTCAATAGGGCTTTCGGTGCCTTTCTTCCCGGTCGTCAAGGCATCTGTTGCCAAGGATGTTGGCGTGTCACGCGGATTCTCGCGTGCATTCGAGACCAAAATAACATTTGGCGGGATAAGATATAGCAGGCGCATGATGCAATCCTCAGACGTAAGTTGCGAGTTTTTGTACAGTGTGTCAGATAACGAAAAGCCCAGAACTGCACACATTGTAGATATAAATGCATTTTGAGCAATAAGACGATTACATCGTATGAATCTTATTTTACTGTAATAAAGTGTTGTTGTTGTCTGCTTTTCCCGCGGTTTTAAGTAGGTCACCAGAAAACCCCACTCGATATCGCGTGACTATGCAATGTCAGAAAGGGCTCCGTCAGTTAAAATCTCTTAAGAGATTTTAACAAAAAAACCAGCGTTTAGGAAAAAAACCCTGGACTAACTTTGAATGCAGGAATGGGGTCGTTGACCATTGGTAGGTACGGGAAAATTGCCGTTTACTCCAGGAAAATCAAATTTTTGGCCAAAACGAAGAGTTATTATGACTTTAAGTGACCCTTCCATGTTTTCTAAAATCGGGCCTTTCTATTGTAATGCACATCATCCTGTTACTTACTTTCCAGCAAAGATACAGCTCAGAGTCCTGTTCTGTCCCTTCAGGAAGACAACAGACGGCCCTGAAGAGGGCCCGGGTTCAGTTTTGTACATCAGCTTTGGGGCATTGTTGGTCAATGGTTTAGCTGAAATGAAAGAATGAAGACGGCGATGATAAATAATTAATTATAATATGGACCACTACATTAAAGGGATAATAACTCTTCGTATGAGATCTAAATTTCACAATAAAAACATTGTGAATGACTCATAGAAATATAATATATTCTGTTTTACCACAAAAACAGCAGTTATAGCTATTATTCTAATATCTGAGCTTGTCTTTAGACCACGTGACCTCCATTGATGGCTATACTCTGTTAAAATCTCTTTTTAGAAAAAAACCAGGGACTAACTTTCAATGTAAAAATGGATTCATTAACCATTGGTAAGTGGGGAAAATTGTTGTTTACTCCAGGAAAATTCTTTTTTTTGGCCGAAACGAAGAGTTATTATCCCTTTAAGATCTCAGTGAAGTTCACAGAATGAACGAATTGGTTTAAAACAAATGTATCGGAAACATTAACGGTTTTACTCATCCAGTAAAATGAAAAATAAATACAAAAATCACAATAGGAATAAAATTTATAAATAATTATGAGAAAATTCCATAACTTAAATTCAATTCAAATTTAATTGAAATAACATAATTTAAGGCCTCATTTAGAGTACTGGACTAGCAAATATGCGGATCAAATATGGCGACCAACTTAAAATTCGGTTGCTTAATCCCCTAAGAATACTGATTAGATACCCCGCTGGAATTATAATAAGTTTTAAAGTGGGCCGGCCATATTTGATCGGCAGATCTGTTAGCCCGTGGGTTAACTCGGTTGTGAATACAATCTCAAAGAAACAAGAAATCTACTTCTATTCCAAAACCATCAACACTAAATCTGAACCTCCTTGGCATTTAGCTTTAAGAAATAACTCAGACTTACTAGTGTCAACAGAAAGTGTAACTGGACTTCCAAAAACGGATAATTTCAGAAATGAGTTATACGCAGAACATCTGTACTGCTGGTTTGGTTGAGAGTCATCCCTGGTAACAAATGCAAACCTCAAAGCTCCTGAATAAAATAAACAAAATACACTTTCAGAGTGAAAATGAGTGAGAAATATTTTGGTTGGAAATTTTCAAATCTATACCCTGTCTCACCATTCTTATACCTTCAGTGGCACATTATAGGTATAATTATTTATATATATTTCATGCGGCACAGAAAAAACTACAGCATGTTAACTGTAATACCCTACCATACAAATGACATATTGTGCCAAAAACCTCATGGCAATACTACAAGATGGTCTGTCTCTCTCCCCCTAGCTCTCTCCCTCCCTCCTCCTCTCTTTCTACCCTTAATTAATTCTCTCTCTCTCTCTCTCCTTTTTCCCTCATTTTCTCTCTTGCTGATACTAACAATCCCCTCAGTGCTAGTCTTACCACTCTCATCCACCTGTCTCCTCTTATCATCAGGCAGAATGGCCTGGGTCTCCTTCACAGACCCCGAGGCAGGCGTGTACAGCTCCCACTGTATGGTGGGATTGGGTGCCGCGTAGGGAAATTGGGGTTTTCCTGAACACACCATGGTGACATTCTCGCCCTCTCGGACCACCTTGGTCTCTACTGTCTGGTTGTCGGGAAAAGCTCC